CATTACAGAGAGAACATATCTATAGCATATCAGACTGGTCCCACCCATACGGGCAGTCCAGATCCGAAATGCCAGCAAGTTCTCTCTGCACGAGAGACACAGCAACCCCAGACGATCGTTTCAGCCTTTATAGGCATCATCAGTGAGGCATAGCTGATATCTCCCTAGGCACCGTGAGCAAGGGGTCCACGTCTGGATTATCCCTTTAAACTTGTGGAGAGTCAAAAATGGGTTGCAAGAGAATACTGAGAACGGGCAGCAGCTGAAATAGCCTGCCCTTCGGTCGGTCCCCGCTCAGTTCTTAAGCTGATTTTTGCTCATCTTGTGCCATTACAGATAGAACATATCTGAAGCATATCAGACTGGTCCCACCCATACGGGCAGTCCAGATCCGAAATGCCAGCAAGTTCTCTCTGCACGAGAGACATAGCAACCCCAGATGATCATTTCAGCCTTGTTAGGCATCATCAGTGAGGCATAGCTGATATCTCCCTAGGCACCGTGAGCAGGGGGTCCACGTCTGGATTACCCTTTAAACTTGTGGAGAGTCAAAAATGGGTTGCAAGAGAATACTGAGAACTAGTGTGTGGGTATTGGGAGTATATTGTGTGCATAGGGGATATAATATGTCTGTGTGTATAGTAATTATAGTGTGTTTGTGAATATAGGGGTCCAGTATAGGAGTACATTTGATGTATTGAGTGCATTGCGTGTCTAAGGAAACATTGTGTGTATGAGGGCATTGTGAGTGTGTATAGGGAGTGTAGTGTATGTATAGAGGTATTAGTAATTGTGTATATGGAGTGTGATGTGTGTCTATTGAAAGTGCAGTACACAAACCACCAGTGGATGGGATTGAACTCCTCTCATAGGAAATGTCCTTAAGTCACAGTAATACCAAAAATGGCATGATGCTCTGAATCCTGGCATAGGCCTATACCCGTAGTCACAATATCCAGACAAAAGCAGGGGGTCCAGACACTCAAGTTTTCACAAATGGCAGCTGTTTAATGAAGCATATCACCAGGCTTACAAGGCAGCAAATATATGGTAAAGGTCGCAGTTTGTGACCGAAATGTTGCCGAAATCTTGTGAGCCTGAATATGCTTGAATATGCTGTGCAATTTTGGGCACCTCTTTCTAAAGAAGAATATTATGGCACTGAAAAAGTGCAGAGGCAGGCTACAAAATTGATAAAAGGAATTAAACATTTTAGTTAGGAAGAAAGGTTAACAATTGTAAATCTCTTTAGTTTGGAAAAATGGCACCTCAGAGGGGATGTGATAACATTATACAAATATATTCGGGGACAATACAAACCATTGGCAGGGAATCTATTGATAAACAGGAATATACATAGGACACAAGGTAACACATTTAGACTGGAAGAGATGAGATTTAGGCTAAAGAAACGGAAAGGGTGTTTTACAGTAAGAATAATAAGGCTGTGGAATTCTCTGCTTGAAGAGGTGTTTTTATCAGAGTCTGTACATATGTTTAAACAGCAATTGGATAAATACTTGAAAAAACTCAATATTCAATTATATAATTTTTAATTAGTGAGGTAATAGCTTCTTGATCCAAGGATAAATCTGACTGCCATTCTAGGGTCAAGAAGGATTTTTACCCCAGCTTGTTGCAAAATTGGAAGCACTTCAAAGTTGTTGTTTTTGTCTTCTTTTGGATCAACAGCAAAAACAGATGTGAGAAAAGCTGAACTTGATGTTGATCTTTTCAGCTATGTAACTATGTAAATTGGGGTGTAAGATATGTAGAGGGGTTGGGTATGGGTTTTATTAATTTAATAATAATTATTAATTTATTAATATTTACACACAAAAATAATAATAATTTTCCCCTCAGTGCTGTTAACCTTGCAGTGAGGAGAGACTTTCTGATCGTTGATGGTTTAGTGTGTTGGGTATTTGGTAGGAGATGACATTCTGATCCCTGGTGAGTACTGATTAATGCCAGGAGGAGGGAGCATGGAAGCCTCTAGTCTGCACCTCCACCAGGCAAATACATAGATACAGATTGACACATAGACAGTGTTAAGACCTGCAGTGGTTATGGTGCTGCGGTCTTGGCTCCCTCTCCCAACAGCTGAGCATGATTGATTATAGCTGCAGCAGGGAGTAGAGGAATAAAGTAGATGAAATGCAGTTCCTAGGTGATTCTTCCCAGCAAGTAGAATATCCCCCAAACATGAGCCTAGACTTCATGAAGGGTGTAACACGAATAATCTTTATTGAAAACACACGGGCTTTTATGAGAAATCCTCCTGCAAGAGGACCTCCCACAGCAAACAAAAGCAACAGCCAATCATCACACAGATTTACAGTATTACACACCTCCTCTCTGCCTGGGAGATATTGAGATAAGTTAAGGAATAAACCAATTATCTCCAGGCAGAGAGCACACAATTTCCCCAAAACTTAGAACACCTCTTCCCCCACAAGGTATCCCCACAAATTACATATCCCCTGATCTGGGGGACAAACATATCCAAATTTCACCCAGATCGGTTCAGGGGTTCTGAAAAAGTGTGGAGGGTCCCTTTTACCGACCACACACGCGGTCCTGCCCAAAACAGTTCCACGAATTCAGCGTGTGCGTGTGCGTGAGCGGTCAGTCAATTCACAAAACTGTAAAAACGAACAAAAGTCCCGAATGGATTCCCCTGGCCCATAGTAGCGATTGCTCCCCTTGTCTGTTCGCACAGAACTACCGAATGGGGCTTCCCTGGCTGTTCGGGAAATATGAGAAGCCGGCGTTCGGTAGTTTCCAGCGGTAGTTCGCGAGGTTGAGTGCCCGATCTTAGTTCCAGACACTCGACGACCAAGTCCCGCTGGCTCTCCTCGTGCGAACAAGATGGCCGCTGCACAGGAAGCACTTAATAGCTTGTTCCTTTGTACTAAATGAGCCAGGAGGGTGGTCGGTGTTCGGTAGTTTCAAACTACCGAACCAATCCATTAACCTTGCAAAGTAATAACATATAAAAATACCAAATCAAAAGGAGAAAATGTCAGGCAAAAGTCCATTTTCTTCAGAGACAGATACAGACATGAAGGTGCACACTGATGCACATACAGATACACAGACAAGCATTTACACATACTGACAAACATGCAGTTACACAGACACACAGATACATACACTGGTACACATACAAATATACAAACACACATATATACACACACATACAGATACACAGAAACACAAATACACACACATACAGATATACATACACATATACACACACATACAGATACACAGACACACTGTTACACATACAGACATGGTCCAACTATATACATTTTTAACCACCCTCCAGCTTCCACCTTCTGAGTGCAGGAGGGTTGTACTGCAGTCCATTGTACTGGCTGAGCCTCTCTGTTCCCTCTCCCTTCCTCGGTTTCTCTAGCTAGGAGGAAGTGACAAGCTCCCATTTCCTCCCAGCACTGTCTGCTGATAAGAAGGGTGTCCAGTCGCACTGTTAAGGCGCTGTAGCACGGGGCCTGGACCCTGACTTCACATTGCCTTTAGGTGGCCCTAACTGCATGCATTCCAATTTAAGGCTAAAGTAGTTGATATGGAGACATAACTGTCTTGGAGAATTCTTCTAGTTTAGCTATTTTGGTCTTAAATGTGACAAATCTCATTTAGTGAATAGCTCGGTGAGACTTTTCTAAATAAAGGATAACGCAAGCAATGGACTTATCCGGAAATCAGTCCCAGCGAGCCGGCCTTCATTTTATCATAATTTACAGACAAATTTGATATTTTATATATGTGATGTATTTTTTGATATTTTAATATTTTGGGGAAAAAAAGTAAAGTTTATCCAAAAATATTAAATAATTTGAAAAGCTTATCCAACAATATTAAATCGAGGCTTTGGAGTGGAATGAGTGAGTGAATGCATAGTAATACAGGCTGAATATAGACTCTCGGGAATATTTATTTAAGTGGTGGTTATATAGGCTGAAAAGACGTGTCCATTAAGTTCAGCCTTCCTCGCATCTGTTTTTTGCTGTTGATCCAAAAGAAGGCAAAAAAAAAAAAAATCCTCTTGACCCTAGAATGGCAGTCAGATTTATCCTTGGATCAAGAATCTATTACCCTACATTGAAAAATTATATAATTGAATATGCTGTTTTTGCAAGTATGAATCTAGTTGCTGTTTAAACATCTGTTCGGACTCTGAAAAAAAAAAAAAAACTTCTACAGGCGGAGAATTCCACATCTTTATTGTTCTTACAGTAAAAAAAATAACGTTTCCTTTGCCTTAGACTAAATATTCTTTCTTCCAGTCTAAATGTGTGACCTCATGTCCTACGTATAGTCCTGTTTGTGAACAGATTTCTACACAATGGTTTGTATTGGCCCCGGATACATTTGTATAATGTTATCATACCCCCTCTGAGGTGACAAGGTTATTTTGAGTGAATTTATTAAACGTTCCTTTTTATAGTAAATTTTGCCAATTTTCTCTAATGTTTCCTCCTCCCCCCAGAACACTGCCAAGCTTACTGTCATTTACTGTCAAATTCCTCCCACTTTTCTGTTGAAAAATTCAGAACTCAGAATTCAGAAAACAAAATCATGCATACAGTGGAACCTCGGAACTCAAACTGTTCCAGAAGGCTGTTTGAGTTCTGATTTGTTGGAGAACCGAATCAACATTTCCCATGAGAAATAATGCAAATTTGATTAATCCATTCCAGCCCCCAAAATTACAGCATTTTAATACAAATTTTACAATATAATATTTTACATACATAAAATCTTAAACACAATGTACAGTAAATGAAAAGACAATGTAACTTCACTTTACCTGTAATGATGAGAGTTGATGGTGTAAGTGGAAAGGAAAATAGATATTATTGTTTGGGTGGGGATAGGTAACTGTTCTACTGGCATTTAAAATGTGTCTAAAGTGAGACATAGCTTTATAATTGAACATGTTTGTGGCATGATTTGTTCGGGTACCAAGGATTGTTCGTGTACCGAGACATTTTCTTCTCTAATTTTTTGCTCGACTACCGTATTGTTTGGGTTCGAGTTCCAAGGTTCCACTGTATTCAAAAATTACAATTAGGGCACAAATAGCAAAAAAATGAAAAATTCCAACAGATTTTATAAATTGAGCCAAAAAGCTAATGTAAAAATGTCGACGACACTTTGGTAAATCTCCCCCTGTGGTCTCTGAAGTTAATTGTAAGCATCCTTTTGGCTCCTCAGAATTTCACATTGAAGACCAGAGCAGCCAAACTGAAACCCTAGCTGACTTAGAGACTTTTTACAGTGTTGCTGTTTCTACCAAACTTTTAAAATTCCCTTTGAATTCTCACTTTAGTGAATATCTGTATCTTTAGTGAACCTTTTAGACTCTTCTAGGGTGCAGGTATAATTCTACACTAATCCAGCCCACAAAATATTCATGCACCGGGCTCACATCCACCTTATAATGACTGCAAATAACTCATTACAGTTGTTTTGATGGAAAATACTACTGAGACACGTCGGCTGAGTCAATAATATGCGGCACCAACAGGTTTCCTGATATCAAAGAGAACTTAATCTAATTACCGAAACTACAATGAATCGCTCTTTTGGGGTAAATTTTATTGCTTGCAGCCATTTGATGATTTTCCTTTGTACATCACAGAGCTGATAGTTGACATTCGTCACGGAGCAGGAAGAATGACTTCCTTTGCAGGAAACCAAACCACGTGAGGGTTACGGGGATCGTATTTACTAAATTACAATTTGTATTGAAATAAAAATCCACTGGGGAAAAAAGGGGGGGAAATGCCTAAACTTGGCAAATCATCAATCCATAAATCCAATCGCAGTAATTCACGTGTTGCTTGGATTTCTAACTTAAAGGAAAACTATCATTAAAGGTTATAGTGTTTGTAATGAAAATGTGCCTTTATTTGCAGGTCCCCCTGTAAGTTTGAAAGCATGTATAGATATACTACCTTTTAATTCCATTGGTGAGCACCTCATGTTCCTAACCTGAGCTTCGCCATTTTAAGTGATCTGCAGTCAGGAGCAGGGATTACCCGAGCAAAGGTCAATCTTCCCTTGCGTGAAAGTATTGTGATATTAATTAACCTTGCTTTCACTGAGCAACATTTCAAATTTGGCAATGGTGGCCTTTGTCATTGCACCGTCTTTGGTCGGGTAAGCTTTGGAACATAATGAAATTAAATGGTACTGCTCAATCCTCTGCCATTTAGAAGTTAAATCACTTTGTTTATTCAGCCCTAGCCTCACCTCCCCTGCATGTGATGTACACAGTCTCCATAAACACTTCTTGTAAAGAGAGATCTAATTTTTAAACTTTGTTATTTGCAAAGTCTGTTTAATTTAGAATATTTTATCTGTTGCTCTGTTAGTAGACTAGTAGAACCTGCATGATTCTCCAGTGTGTGATTAAAGTCCAATTAACAGAGCAGTGAATAAAAACTTCTAAAGTGAACACAAAATGCCATCGCATCTGATTGAAAATAATAAAATAAAAATAATGTTGGCTGCCTGAGGGAAGCCAGAGGATGTATGACGAGGGCTGCATAAATAAAAAAAATGATGTAACTCCTAAATAGCAAAGAATTAAGCAGTGATGGTGCAGGATCTATACACCAAAACTGCTTCATTAAGCTAACGTTGCTCTAGTGCTTAGATTGTCCCTTTACGCTTCTTTTGCATTTATCCTATGCTTTTCCTTGGCTGGGAGGGGTGGGGTTTTATGGATCAGGACCCAAACACCGAACAAGGGGACCTCCTCTATACCCCAAAAAGAACAGGAAAAAAACATACAAAACAGGTTGAGTCTAATAAAAGATGAGTAGTATATATAAAATATATTTTTTGCATTGGTAAACTGCTGACCTTTTATTAGACGCAATCTGTTTTCTATGGGGTTTTTTAACATAATTTTTATTGCAATCACTGGGAACCACGTTCAATCAACTCTTTGCCGGCAGCATTAAGAGAAACACTTATTGTAATAACCTTTACAAATGATGTTTATGATGTATTCTGCATATAAAGCAATATGGCTGCTTCTGACAATTTTATTTAGCTGGTTTTCATCTTTATTATATCTACATAACAATGCTCTATTGTTTAGAATAAAATATATTTAACAGACAAAACATTATATATATGCATATATATATATTAGGGTGTACATCTTGGAAATTTATTTAAATAAAAGGGAGAATGTTTATCAAAAACGTAACGGGTCAATCCAAGCACCATGACCACGTCACTGATTTGAAGTGTTCACGGTGCATGGAGTCTGAATATGCAGTGCTTTAATGAAATGTGGCACATTGAGTTTAACTCTTCTGCTGCTACCTCCGGCTGCATCGTTGGGATGTCATTAACCAGCCCAGAGAAGGAGTTTTGGGTCGCCAATGTGAGTCCTGTGCATATTTGGTGTCTAAAGCCAGCAGACACATCATGCCTCCTCATGCCACCCATGTCCTTCCCTTAGCCCATCCTACTTAACCTCCTTCTCCAAATAGGGGGAGTGATGTCAGCTGAGAAGGCTTGTGCTTCGGCGAGAACTTGGCCTTGTTGCTCTATCAATGAGAGTTTTAGTTTTATATATTTATTTTTTGTTAATTTGGGGGAGGGGGCTGGCAGACCAACACAGCAATATAAAACAACAACTAAACTAGTCATAAACTTCATTTGTGAAGATAAATGATAATCTTCATTTTTGGCTATATAATAAGAGATATTTCAAATTGGCACAGTAATGGAGGTAGGGACCTGAAAAGGGCAGGTATTTTATACAAATAAACTTGGCATCAGAGTGGGTTAAAATGCATTGGGCTTCCAAATACCTGCGACATTATTATCTCTGTAAAACAATTTCTAAACTTTTAAGTGAATCAATGGTATATACTACAATTATGTAAAATTGTACAAACTCCGCTCAAAGTTAAGCCACATAGATAAAGTGCTCTCATTTCTACACATCAGCAGGTTGTAGACAGATGTATTTATATAGTAAGTTCTGATACTTTGAATCCTAGGTGAGGTTTCCATTACGCTCACAGTGACCCGCGAGCTCATATATTGTCGATAGTGTGTTAGACTCCGGTTGATGGTATCCAGGAAGCGAATCCTATGAAATAATTAATGTACAGATCAGAGGATATTAAAAAAAAAAAAAAAAAAAAGTTGCATAGCTCTCAAAAAAGTAGAGGAAGTGGATGTTTTTGATCTTTTCTACATAAAGCAGCTGGCTTTAAATACCTTAGGGGAACATGAAGAATTATTTTTCTTACTTTACAAACATTCTGTAATAGCTTTCTAATTACAATTTATATGTAATAAATAAATAAATGTAAAGACGGGGAGAATTTTTAAATGATTCTTTATTTTCATACACTTATATAATTTATGTGTACATCAACCTCTCTGCCTCTCTTTCTCTGCTAGATAAAAGTATAAATATATATATATATATAAAAAAAATTTAAAAATGAAATATAAAAGTACTTATCTTTCTGCAATATCCCACGGAAGAAAATCGAACGAATATTCAATAAAAATAATTATAGTTTATGAACAAGGAATGAATACTGACTGCATCTTACCAGTCTGTGCATGTGCTCTGCTCGTGGTCTCTCTGTGCCCGTTGCAATGTTGTTTTTTACCTGTAAAATAATATTTAACAAAACTTCATTAGCCATACGATAAGACCGTAAGCTGAACGAGGTTTGAGAAAATAAGTATTATACAAAAAACTTTATATAATTTCACAGTAATGAAATACTGACTGCTTTTCCCCAGTTTGTGCAGGTGTTCTGCCCATAGTTTGTCTATGTTCCTTTTAAGTTTGTTTTTGTTGGGGATTTTTTGGGGGCGGATACATAATCTATGTGCACAGGCGCACCACCTAATAGAGGCCTCGATTTTATCTTTTGAAAAATTATTATTCAAATTATTTAATATTTCCAGATAAGCTTTTCAAATGGTTAAATATTAAAATATCAAAAATATATTATACATTAAAAAAAACATATAGCAACATTAAAAAATATTAAAATATTTTTCAACATTTTTAAATCATTTGAAGAGCTTATTAAAAATGTAAAATATTAAAGTGAGGCTGAAAAAATATATATTTTGACACCAAGTCAGTTTCACTAGTATTTTGGTGTATTTTAATCCTATCTGCTAATGCAATACAATAAGATAATGCATACCATAGATGTGTATAACATACCGGTGTCCTTTGAACCTGGGAATATATTGTGAGAAATCCTGCCGCCTGTGGTTCTACTGGCTCTGGTAGTGGGGCTCTCTCTGGAGGAGTCAGCGTGAAAGTACCTTTCAAAATATTATATGAAAACACTTAGATGTTTAAACATAACTAACATTTTCAGTGAAGCAGCTCCATTTTTTGGGGGGCCCTTTACACAGCTCAAGGTCTGGGTCCCAGGGTCCACCTTCATGTTCCACCAATGAGTTTGTTCACAGGGGGTGGAGTGTGTAGGGGATGTCCTGATGTGTGTAAGGAATGCATTGTGTGAATCTGTGTTTGTATGTGTAAGGGCTGCAAGGTGTGTTTCTGTGTATGTACGGATGCAGTGTGTGTGTCTGTAAGGGGTGCACTGAGTGTGTGTAATGAATGCATTGTGTGTTTCTGTGTGTGTAAGGGATGCATTATGTGTAAGGGTTGCATTGCTTGTGTATGTGTTTCTGTGTGTGTAATGCATTGTGTGTTTTTCTGTGTGCAAGGGTTGCATTGTGTGTGATTATGTGTGTGTGATGGGTGTCAATCTCTCTCCCCCCTCCTTGTCACACACTCTTTCTCCCCCCCTCCTTGTCACACTCTTTCTCCCCCCCTCCTTGTCTCTCTTTCTCCCCGCTCCTTGTCTCTCTCTTTCTCCCCCCTCCTTGTCTCTCTCTTTCTCCCCCCTCCTTGTCTCTCTCTTTCTGCTCTTTTCCCCTTTCTTGTTCTCTCTTTCTTTCTCCCTCCTTGTCACACCCCTTCCCTCTCTTGTCTCTCTTTTCTCCCCCCTCCTTTTGTCTCTCTCTTTTTCTCCCCTCCTTGTCTCTTTTCTCCTCCTTGTCACACTTCCCTCCTTATCTCTTTCTCCTCTCATTGTCTCTTTTCTCCCTCTCTCCTGTTCTCTCTTGTCTCTCTCTTTTCTCCCTCCTCCTTTTTGTCACACTTCTTTTCCCTCCTTGTTCCCTTCTCTTTCCCTTCCTTGCTCCTTCTTTTCTTTCCCCTACTTGTCATACTTCTCCTCTCCTTGCTCCTCTCCTTCTCCCCTACTCTTGTCTCTTTTCTCTCTCTGCTCTCTCTCTTTATCTCTCCTTGTCTCTCTTTTCTCCTCCCTATAATTTGTCACTTTCTTTCTTTCCTACTCCCCTACTTGTCACTTCTTCCTCTCTACTTGTCACTTCTATTTCTTTCCTCTTCCTAATTTCATGCTCTCTTTGCTACGGGTTTAGTTTATAGTTCAAGGGTACAGGGAGTTTTTAGCTTGTATCAAGCTGACTAACAGGGAAGTGCATACTTCAGTGTTACTTTCCTGTTAGTCTGTGCCGGGTAAGGGGAGACAGATGCTCTCGTACCAAGGGACTGGCCAGGAGGTGTCGCCACGCTTACACTGAGGGGAGTGACAGGAGGGAGCTGAGCCGCTTCCCTCCTGTCAGCCCCTCTCCTCAGGCTGCGCCCGGGCGGTGCGGTCCGTCCTCATGGACGCACCGCCCGGGCAAAGCTGCAGCTGCCTGAGGCTGTCTACAGAGCGCTCGGGCGGCTGCAGCATGAGGGGGGCCGGTGCTCCTGGCAGCGCCCCTTCCCAAGGCTGCCTAGTCCGCCTAACAGGTAGCGCCGGCCCTGGTGGTACAGTAAGTGCAGAAAGTGCTATGTTTACATAGCAGGGTTAAGCCAACCTCTAGTGGCTGTCTTCCAGCTTGCAGAACGTCCATAGCATTGAGAAATGCTTTCCTATGGACTGGTTGAATGTGCACGCAGCTCTTGCTGCGCATGTGCATTTGGCTCCACTTGGGAGCTAACCCCTTAAGCTGATCCTTAGAAATAGCATAGGAAAGGGATTTGGGCTCAAAAGATGTAGCGGCTGGGGAAGAGGTTTTGTAGAAGAGGGCCAGGGCAGGGGTTTTGTATAAATGCGCCAGTTTTGTAGAAGGGGGAAGACCAGTGCTTTTGTAGAAAGGGGCTGGTGAGAAACTTCTAGAAAACTCCTGCTCTGCCCCTTTCTACAAAACCCCTGGTCTCGCCCTTTCTAGAAAAACCCTGCCCTTCGCCCTTCATATAAAAACCCTGCACACTGATCACATAAATTTCATACACTCCCTACACATAAAAACCCTGCATTAAAAAAAATCCTGCACACCCCCTTAATTAAAAAAAACCCTGCACACCCCCTTTAATAAAAAAAACATGCACAACCCCCTTAATTACAAAAAAACATGCACACCCCCTTAATAAAAAAACAAAAACTTGCACAACTCCCCTTAATAACAAAAAACATGCACACCCCCATTAATAAAAACCCTGCACACCCCCTTTAATAAAAACCCTGCACACCCTCCTTAATAAAAACCCTGCACACCCCTTAATAAAAAAACAAAAACTTGCACAATCCCCCTAATAACAAAAAACATGCACACCCTCCTTAATAAAAACCCTGCACACCCCCGTAATAAAAAAGAAAAATCTGCAGTGCACATCCTCCCTTAATAAATAAAATACTGCAACCCCCTTAATTAAAAAAAACCTGCACCCCCCTTTAATTAATCCACACCCACCTTTAATTAATCCACCCCTCTTTAATTAATCCACCCCCTTAATTAATCCCCACCCCCATTAATTAATCCACCTCTTTAATGAATCCACACCCCTCTTTGACTAATCTACCCTCTTTAATTAAACCTCCACCCCCTTTAGATAATCCACACCCCCTTTAATTAATCCACCCCCCTCTTTAATTAATCCACCCCCCTTTAATTAATCCACCCCCCTTTACTTAAACCTCCCCCTTTAATTAATCCACCCCCCTTTAATAAACCTCCACTGCCTTTAATTCTTTAATTAATCCCCTCTTTAATTATTTAATTAATCCACCCCTCTTTAATTAACCCACACCCCCCTTTAATAAATCACACCCCATGCCCCCCCTTAGTACGCCACTGGCTAGGACCACGTGTGCGGCCGGTCAGAACTTTGCTCCGGTGGAGTTTCCCCTATACTGCATGGATCAGATCGCTATTTGGACAACTTGGGCACTCAGATCAGGGCTGTTTGGGGATGTATGACTTGTGGGGTTACTGTATATTTTATTATGTTTTCGGGTACTTTTAGGTTTTTGTATTTTGGCTCTCTGTCTAATTATCTCTGGGAGATAATTAGCTTACTGGTATTTAACTCAATTATTTCCCACGCAAAGAGATCTCTGGGAGGGGCGTGTAATGAATACAATGGAGACCCCATGCTGGGGGATATGTATAAATTCTGTGTGCATTGCCTGAATAAACCAGTTCCTTTACACCCTTCACTCAGTCTGGACTAGAGTTTTGGTGGATCAGCTATACTCTCTGCAGGAGAGCTTAATCACTTGAAGGTGTACCCAGGACCTTGTTTCAGGGCAGGAAATGATGGAGAGACTCCAGCCAAGCTGTGGTGGCTAATGGCTGAAGCACTACGGGTGTCCCGGTGGAGAGCTACTGTACGTAGCCACATTGGAATTAGGAAAACTATGCGCAAACAGCGAGTAAGATATAGGCAGTAGCACAGATGGGTAAGGGGCCTGCACACAGCTAGGAGGAGAGTGGTAGGCGAACAGGTGGAGGCACTGCATAAGTGGGGGCTCTGCCAGCGAGGGGGCGGAACCACCCTTTTTTTTCAATACGATGGGAACCACACATAGTTATAGAACATAGTTAAGGGGATAATTGGGGAGGGGGGCAACAGTTGAGGGACTTTTTTGATAACAGTCTAACGACAGAAGATATGACGATACAATTCCAACTCGGTGCACATTATTTAGGCATGGGTTTGTAACCATTTCTTATGATAGTTTACAATGTTCAACAAATAAGGAAAAAATAAATAAAGATTGTAAAAAAAAAAATAGAAAAGGGAAAGGATAGGCTTACTAGAAAGTTGAATTACATCTAACACACACTTATTATGCTCTGTTCGTACTTTATGTTAACCCTATTGCCCAATATTTCATATTATTGACTTCTTTTCTGTACGGAATGTAAGAAAATGGAATTAAACTGTTGAGAACTGTTGCATACTGTAACAAAATAAAGATTGTCCAAAAAAAATTAATTCTGGATAGTGAATGTTCTCCTTTAACACACTAACAATATATATACTGCACTGCATATAATGTGGGGGTGCTTGTTTGTGCACACTGTTAAAGCATAAAAGGCAACAAAGTATATCAACTTAAGGAACAGCAAAACAATTATTAACACAGCTCATCTCGCCCCAAATTGTGTTACTCAATAATAATTTGTTAGAAATTTTTAATCAGCAAAACATGCATAGAATTTCTTACCTGTCGTTTTGTGTCTACGCAGTACAACCTTGTAGATTTGGAGTGCAAGAATGATCCCCAACACAGCCAGAGACACTGAGACAGATACCGCCACAAAATCAAAGTTCTTTTCTAAAAACAAACAGGAAAATATTCTAAAAAATAATCATAGTAATGTTACTGTGGCATATGCCCTGCCCCGGTCATCGTAAGGCCTATAAAAGACTTTAAAATGATAAGAGAGGGCACCCATGCCAGTTTCCTATCGTGTAGTATAGCTAATCTGTCTAAAATAGAAAGATAAATTACATGGTCAATGGTAAGTAGAAATCCCGTCTTATTGGTGACCAATCTGTGACACATCTAAATAAATAACACATGGAGTCTTGCAATCTCCATGGACTAACAACAGCTGTACAATGGCCATGTGATATTCAATCTTTCACTTACAGGTGTTATTTACTAATGTGAGAATTAAAAATTCAAAGTTAGTTTTAAATGTAAGGTCCAAATAGCCAAATTTGAAACATTAAATTCTGTTTTTAGTTTGGTATTTTGTTAACACAATGCAATTCAATGCAAGACCACGATAAGTGTATCATGGTGAATGTGTCCGAATACGCAGAACTTGGGATAACTAGCATGGGAAGCAGAATAGACATATTAGTTGAGCCAAGGTCAGAGTTACAGTATAAACAGATAATTGGATTTACCAGCTTGATCAGAACTACAGAAAATCAGAATAACATATAAATTAACCGGGTCAGTGTCACAGAGGTACACAGAATCCAGAAACAAGCCAAACCAGTAAAATAGAGAACAGGATAATGAACGTGCTGATCAGGTATTGGAACAGAAACCACAAAAGGGCAGGGGTTGCAAGCAAAAACAGCATGAATATGGTTAACAAGTCTGATTTGTCCACATCACTCCTACAAAACCAAAAAGTGTGGCAATGAGGTTACAGGAGTGACACTGCCAATCTCGGACCAGATGTGACGCAATGCACCTCAAGGTTACTTAGGAACATGCTCTGTGAGCAGCCAGTGTCTATGATGGCGCTTCGAAGCATGCCACGTGTTTGATTAATCCAGTCTACACGAGCAGTCCACAGGACAGACTGGGCACTCCACGTCAGTTGGATAAGCTCTGTTACAATGTTACAGCTAATCAGTTTATCACGATTTTCATTTAACTACTTTTTCTCTCTGAAGAGACTGTTCCACTGATTATACCGCAGGTAGAACGTTTGTAACTAAATACAGATATTTCAGCATTGTTCCTTCTACTGGTGAACATATTGAACCTCTAATATACTTGGAACCTTGTTAATGCTTTGTGGAAGTGTGCTTTCAAAATTGAGAAGAACCTGAAGACTTTTCATCAACACTCCTCAAATATCCTTGAAAAGGTCATATTTCAGTTAGAAATAGGCCAGACTAGCATAATTGTAAACTTAACAGCCATGGCTAAGACTGATTATCATGGATTGGGATTTGGAATGATTGGATGCCTTAATTCTATTGATAAACTACTTTCCCTAACACCTACCGTTGTGGTGGCTCTTACCTGGTGGCATTTTACATCCTGTGAATGGTTTGATGGTAACAGAACTCTTACTGACAGAATTCTTCGCTGTGCAGTTATAGTAGCTATCAACATTGTCTGATGTCAGAATTATCTGCAATATATTGCTGTTATGTCTCAGATCCTCTTGGTCTCGACTCCAGTAAAATGTTGTTTCATCCTTTGCCAATGCCGTGCAGTTCAGGATGACAACACAGGTGTCATTTACAAGAACGAGAGATTGATTGATAGATATGTTCCTGATCTGACCTGTTACAAGCAATATGATCACATAAGTTTTACCTACGGATAGGAAAATAACCTTAGAATAAAACCTACCTGTTTTAAATTATGGCGTTATAAATGAGCAGGTACCTGTCTCGGCCAATCTCTAAGATCAAGATGAAAGGAGAGGCAACAAGAGAGGACATGTTCTGCTGGATTAACACATACATCATGGCAATTTCCTTAAGCAAAGCTTTAATAAATAATCCAAAGTTTTTTTCCATATCTGTCTGGTCTAAAGAGCAATCTTTTGTTTACTTAGAGTGTTCCATTAATAAACATTAACCTTATATGAAACTTTAAAAAACAAAAAAAACCTTAATGGCTGTCCTTGGAGTCTGTTGTCTACCAGTACCGGTGGGGCTGGACAGGAAATATTGTCCCTGGCCACTCTGAGCTAACTCCACAATCAGGGTGACCTTGCAAGCTCTCGTTGCTTTAAAATGGACCTTACCATAATTTTGAGCCCCTTGCTGTCACTGGTGCACAGCACGGAGGTACTGAAGGAGTTGTCATAAGGGTTGCTGGCTCCTTTCAACCTTGAATCCATGCTTCTCCACCATACAACCCTTTCAATAGCTAAATACAAAAGAGCATCACTATGCACCTACTTAACGCAGCAAAGGCTCACATACCAATTTTCTGGAAGATGCAAGTGTTTCCCAAGCTTTGGCAGAGTCAATAAGATATATGATATGGGCCTGTGATAGAGTAGACAAATGTTCCCAGATGTTGATGCTATGGCTTGCTTACATCGGAGTTGTCTTAATGCATGGCGCATGGGCACACTGAGTAGTTGCCCGGGGGCCCACGAGCATAGGGGTCCCATAGTTAGTATATTATTCCAGGAGATTTATTCACAACATTCAAATCCTCCTTCTTAAAACATTTAAGTGGACTCATTACCTCAGTATTAGCTGTTATCTGAACAAGCCAATTATAAAGCAATTCTCTGCAAAGAAATTTAGTAAATGTTAGAGTTGAACACTTGATTAATAATAAAGAATTAATTGTAAATTCACACTGTGTCATCTCCGTCTGTATGATTTACCAACCGAGCACCATTTTTAAGTTGACTTTCTTGTTTTTCAACTTCAAGGTTCATGTTATATTTTCCAAATGTTTGTGTGCATTATTCTCTGCTGTAAAGCAAGTTTTTTTTAATTTTTAAACAGTGATTTTTTTGGAAGTGCCAATAAATATAGGCTTAATTTTATCGATAATTTACATTTGTATTCCTGTGAGTGGTTGTGTAGGCAGGGGCCCAGTGGACTATAATGTATTCCTGACCCTCTAGTGTTAAAACCACCATTTAGCCCCCCTGCCTCCTTGCCTCCCTAAATATAGTAAAATCTTACCTGCATTCAAGTCTGCAGCTGCCGGCTCTGCCCCTGTCTAACTCTGACCTGCCTGCTGTCTGCTGACATCATCAGAAGTGGTGGTCTGAGCCAAACACAATGCTTCCCCATAGGATTGGCTGAGACTGACAGAGGCAGATCAGGGGCAGAGCCAGCACAGGCCAAACACAGCCCTGGACAATAAGCATCTCCCCATAGAGATGTCTTGAATCACTGGCTTTGTTTTTCCTGGCACTATAGGATCCCTTTAAGGAAATATGCTCTCTAACACTAAGTTATGGACATTGCACATATTACTTCCAAGTAATTTCTTCTTCCAAAACAGAAACTTTATATTGAGTTTTAACCTAAAAGTGAACACTTAAAAAATCAAACGGAATAAAAAAATATATTTTCAATTGGGCATCCCAAGCACCAATCTTTAAAACTCTTCATCCAAGACAAAAATATGAGACATAATGCAATTGATTCATATCCCACTCCCAAAATGTTGGTAATTTGCTTTTTTGGGGGAGGGGGGATTTACTGGAAAAATATCAATATTATAATTCGAATAGTACTCTGGCCCTCATGCTGTGGAATGTAACTTCCCATCGTGAACATCGTGAATTATTAATCAGAATGTGACCTATAAACACATTACAAGTAAATCAAGTTTCAAAATGGCTATAGTTGAATAAAATTAACTGAAGGTGGAACGTTAAAGCACCTAATGAGATAAACAGGACATTTTATCCTCAGCCATTGTCACTCTCGTTGTTTCCATAACTTACGTAACTCACCGTAAACTTTGATATTAAATGAGCACATTTCTTCGTAGGTTCCGCGTTCTTTTACCAAGACATAGTTTCCTTCATCTTTCTCACGGAGTTCAACAAACTGCACTGTTCCATTGAGATCATAGAACGAATAGCGTCGATTACGCAATAAAGGTTTCTTGCTTTGAAGATCATAAGAAAAAAGTTTTGTAGACGTGCTGCCGTTATTTCTTTTTAATATTATTTTCTCCACGTTTTCGAGTTTTCCTGCAGGTATATTAAGTGATACTCCGCTGGTTGCATTAATTGTCACGTGGTCTATATCACACCCAGTTGCCATTGTCACTTCTGGAGGGGAAAAACATGCAGTTTTAATGTGTAAAAATGATTCTACATGGAAATGTTTTATTGGACAGCAGGTATAAATATATCGGAAACCCTCACAACGCTTTCAACCTGTAATGGCTTCATGTCGCAAGCTGGTTTCATTATTCGTGGTCACACAGAGTTATTCACTAAGGTAAGATTTCAAAATGTGTTGCACAATGAAGCTCACGATTATGGTCAAAATAGCCAAATTGGTCAACAATTTGGGCTTCCAGTTTGGCTACTTTGGTTTTATGAGACAAAAAACTCATAACATTCTTGTAGTTTCCAAAAAAAGTGGTGTGTGTGTGTGGTCCACCACCAGACCGAGGGGTGTGAGTGCTCCTTATTATTTGAAGGATACAAAGAATATGTGATGAATATTAAAACTTTAATAGTCAAATATTTAAAAAAAAAAAAAAAGGCATTGACCTATTGGACCTATTGGAATTGGATCATCTTCATTTTTTTAAAAGAACCGAGAAGTAAGAAATGAGGTCCAACTAATGTAATTCTATTACTAAGAGGTGGTTATGGACAGAAAGACCCAACTAGTTAAAAGAAAATTTGGAGAAAGCCAAAATGTTATATTGAACACACTAGTTATATGAAAACTCAGCCTATAAAAAAGGCAGTTACAAATGTTCCAGTTGTGCAGTAATAATATACACCAGATAGTTATCCAAATAAAATCCAATCAGCCAAATTATCATCCGTATATCTGCCACTAGGGTGCAGCCCAGCACTAATCACTAATCTATGTAATATGAATAATGACCACCAGGAGTTGCTGAAGTCTATGTAGTTCTTACATACACCACTTAAATTATTATGATGTGGTGCATAAAGTTATAAAAATCAACCATCAGGGAATAGTGACCCAATGCCTATTGACTGCCATTATTTAATTAATTAATTATAATTTGGAACACACAAGGTGACGTGTTACCTGTTGTGAGGTTACGGCTCTGGTGTCTCTGGCCGTGAAATTGTACCAGTTCAGGCACGCTATTGTATGTGAGTTTCTTTTACCTAACCTGCACCACTAACTGCTACTATGAGATATTCTACCTACCTAGTCCTCTGGCAATAATACTCTTATTAGTAAGTACTTTATAGTGGACAATCGATAACAAAATCCTGTGAGACCTAAAGAAAGAGACAAACCAGCTTCTTCTTGGAAACTCAAAGAACAGAGAGTTTTATTGTATAAACATCCATCTTACATAGATCACAGCATACAGTAAAAAAAACACCAATGGGAATACAGAACCAGTCAATACCCTGTTTACCCTAAAAATAGACATCCCCAAAAATAAGCCCTAGCTTGTTTTCGGGTGATGCTCATAATGTAAGCCCTACCCCGAAAATAAGCCCTAGTCTTTAGTCGCTAGATTGATAATCTTTGTTCATTCGCGATTAAGGTAATCGATATTCGGGAAAGTTTCCCCAAACATTGATCCGGGGGATTCCATTCCCTAGGGAACTGATCTATGTTTGGGAATTCCCCTGAATGTTGACCGGCCACATGCTAGCACATGCTTGCTACCGTTGTTCCCCGAAATAAGACATCCCCCAAAAATAAGCCCACCCTGACAGCAAATGGTTATCTGGACCCACTGTGTCCCTTGAGAGCAATCTCTGATTACATTAACATGGCCCTTTACTGTAGATAACATTCAATTACAAGTGTAGACTTGGTGGCTCCCACATCAGGTGGCCACTTACAGAATTTAACTTAATTAACCTACAAAATACAATTCATCCTAGCAATGAACACAGCACCTGACAAAACACCACGGGGTGGAACAAAATGGCACAGTGAGCTTGTGGCTTGCGCTAAACAAATCAGGGGGAGCAGGCCATCCATCACACCTACATTCAGGGTGTCAGTTGTCTCCACATCCTAGCAGATTATCTAGAGTACTTAATGACACAGTACTGTTCCCCTTCCCACCTCATTCATTTCTACTTGTACCAATTTGTACCCGTGGACAGAAATGCAGGATTTGTTTGCGCTTTATAAATAAAGTTTTTTAATAGTAATTAATGTTTCATCAGTAGCCTTTAAAATATGTTATGATATATTGTTATCAAGGAATAGATTGTTCAAAAAAAAAAACCATATAACCCTTTCTTACAAATGTTTTAAATATTTAATTTTTTTCAATTAAAGGAAAAATCTAATTAAATTTGAGCAGGAAATAGCAGTAAAACCATTATGTATGTTTACTCTGTCACAGATATATATATATATATAAATTTGCATAAACCCACTGATGTATGTCATTCTCAATCTACTACTTGGGGTTTTTGTCTGGGGGGTTTTTTGTTTTGGGATTTTTTTTCTGATCTAAAATTACAAATTGTTTATGTCTTTAAATCCCATCAGTCTGAAACCTGTTACAAACTATAGCTCTGCTCTGCCTGTTACTGTTTTAGAAAACGTTCAAATTGCTACAGTCGGCAAAACATCTGGCTCCAAGACATTTTTAAAAATGTTTAAATTATAATGAAAGGAGACTACTACAAGACAATATCAATCAAAATTAGTCCTCGGTAAGGAGATCAAACATTAACAGGACTATTTACTAAAGTGAGGATTGTGGAGAATTAAAAAAGGAATTTCTTATTTAAGGTCGAAGGAGCCAAACTGGAAAACTCTCCTCGTCAGCTGGGCTTCCAGTTGGGCTACTTTGACCTTAAATTTAAAATTTTAATAAAATTTCAAACAATTCACACTTTAAATAAAATAATAAAATTGTAATTATTCAGTGAAAATGAGAAAACCAGGAAGAAAATAAAAATGAGTATTTTTTGCAGTATTTTTGCTCAGTTTACACTCCAATGAGTCCACGAGGACTCAGTCTTGTTATACTCAGTCAAAGTGATGATGGCTAATATAAAGAATATGACTACTATAGGAGATGTCCCATCAGTCATCAAGCATCTCCCAAAAAAAGATTTTGGAAATCCCTAATTCAGTAGATGGCGAAGGAAGGGGCTGTACAAGGACCTGTTGCTTTCATATAGAACTTTGCCTTTATTACAGTTTTAATCTTTGTCTTCACGTAAGAACTGGTCGAAATACAAAGTTACAAGTTTGGAATGTCATGCATTGTTCGAGTGATACTGAAATTGTATTTTTCAGAGTGTCATATTAACACAATTCACGATGATGTCGTTATAGTTGGGTAATTCTTAAAATGAAGTAATGTTTTGAGTTAAGGTACTCTCCAGGTGAGTCCTTGGATAATTGGGGGTCTGAAAGTCTTGCTTAGAGTGATGTGAAATACAGTCCATATCTCACATGCCCCACACTCTGTAATGTTGTTATGGTTTGTCATTGACGCTCTCCACCTCTAATTTGTCTTGGTCACGTACTAAATTAACGCCGAAATGAAACTGAATCTTATCTTCAACATCGTTACACAAGAATGGCTCAAATCTTGCACTCGCCACTAGCCATTAGTGAGAGCAATTTAGCACTGCCATAAAAAATTCACCCCTTGTCAGTATACCACAGCTTGCATGGGCAAGTATCTTTTAAATCCGGGCTAGCACCATAGAAAGCAAAACCATCTCTCTCTTTTCTTGTTGACCTCTCGCCTTAGATTCACATACCAATATTTTATTTGAATGTAGCAAATTTCAATAAGGGTATGCTTTGATACCAGAGCTAGGGTATAGATTTAACTTAAATTAAAATATCTCTGGGAAATAATTTTTTGTTTAAAATAATCTTATACTGTAATGTACAATAAAAGTTATACAAACATCTTTTCAAGCCCCCATGGCTAAAATCGCATCGACCCATTGAAAGACCCACTCTATGATCTTATTCCAGAGTTAGCGTGAATGACAGAATTCTGAAAGTTCACTTACCAAAACAGCATAAATTTATCAAGACGCAGATGCTGCAAAAGCTGTGAAACATGGTCTACGGATGATTCAAGTAGATCTTTACATCTTCTGTAACAGGTGAAGAGAGACACACAGTAAAAGATGTGATAAACCACATCCTGTTAAAAAAAATATTTTGTTGCATTTACAGAGTTTGAATGTTCTACGCTACTAGCCAAGCGTGGCATCTACCAGGAGTGGAATTCTACTCACCAGAGCTACATTTTTACTCGCCAATGGCTAGGGACAAGTGGAAATTTGGATCCATGCCATCAGTATAATGTATTTCAATTAAAGAAACACCCCAAGCACCATAATCCACAAGTGCATTGGCACCCCTCGAGTAAACACGCAAACTGTTTAAAAGCAATTTTACAACTTAACTGGGCTCATTGGCTGAGATAGCTCAGCTGACACACTCACCCAATAAGTCGGCTCTGTATGGGAGGGCTTAGCTCAGTGGAGCAAACAAAAGCTTCTTGTGGGAGCTTCCAGAACCTGGGGAGGTAGCAACGAGCACCCAGTGGGATCCTATCAAAGGAATACTGAAAGCACCAAAACAGCTTAATCAGAATGACTTCCTCTTAACGTGGTGTAATCACAACTGTCACCTCAAAACTATTTTATTTTAATAATCCTTTCATCAAGTATTGAAAGAATTAGATTTAAAAAAAAATTATTATTAATAATATTGGTATTTATATCGCGCCAGCTTATTCAGCAGTGCTTTACATTAAAGGAGGAATTTAACAAATGAGACAATACCGAAATGTAACAGGAATAGTGATGTCCCGAACGGTTCGCCGAACGGTTCGCCACGGATGGCGAACATATGCGCTGTTCGGTCCGCCCCCTATTCGTCATCATTGAGTAAACTTTGACCCTGTACCTCACAGTCAGCAGACACATTCCAGCCAATCAGCAGCAGACCCTCCCTCCCAGACCCTCCCACCTCCTGGACAGCTCACTAAGAATGCAGCTTCACAATGGATGTAAAATGGATGCTGTCCAGGAGGTGGGAGGGTCTGGGAGGAAGGGTCTGCTGCTGATTGGTTGGAATGTGTCTGCTGACTGTGAGGTACAGGGTCAAAGTTTACTCAATGATGACATAGGGGGCGGACCGAACAGCGCATATGTTCGCCATCCGTGGTGAACCATTCGGCGAACCGTTCGGGACATCACTAAACAGGAACAATAGGTAGATGAGGACCCTACTCAAACAAGCTTACAGTCTAGAGGAGATGGGGTATAAAAACACAATAGGAAGGGTATTGGGGGAGACAGCAAATAGACATGGTGGGAAAGTACCAGAACTGGAGGTGAGAGTGGAGTGTGGCCCTTTAGGAGAGAGCTAGAGGCAGGTTTGTGAAATAAAAGTTACTTTGGGAGGCCACCTTTGCAAAGGTGAGGCCAGTATCAAAGATAACACCAAGACAGTGAGCTTGCAAAGATGGGAATGGGGCAGGTACCATCAACCTGCAGGGAGAGTGAAAAAGGAGGATCAGTGTTATGAGGAGCAAAAATAAGAAACTCAGTTTCTTACTCTAGAGAGAGAGCAAAAGGGAACCAAGAAGCGAACCTTGATGGACTCCGACTGAGACAGGACAAGGGGAGGAGGTGTCTTTGGAAAAGGAGACACTGAATGAGCGTTGGGAGAGATATGAGGAGAACCATCAGAGGGCTGTGTCACAGAGACCAAGAGATTGAAGAGTTTGGAGAAGGAGGCCATGATCAACAGTGTCAAAGGCAGCAGAGAGGTCAAGAAGAATTAGTATGGAATAGTGGCCTTTGGATTTAGCCGCAATTACAGTAGATGATTTGTAACTTTAATCAGAGTGGTCTCCATGGAGTGGAAGGGGCGGAATCCAGACTGAAGATGGTCGTTTAGAGAGTTGAAATTGAAGAAACAAGTCAGACGGGTAAAGACAAGTCTTTCCAGAAGCATTGAGGAAAAGGGGAGCAGGGATATGGGACGATAGCTAGAAGGGGAAGCTGAGTCAAGAGATGTTTTTTTTAGGACAGGTACAACAGTAGCATGCTTAAGGGGAGCAGGGACAACACCAGAAGAAAGAAAGCAGTTTAAGGCGTGCGCTAAGGACAGCACAAGACAAGGGGAAAGAAATCTGATGAGGTGAGATGGGATGGATCAAGTGGACAAGTGGTGGGACGAGTGGAAAGGAAAAGCGCAGCCACCTCCTGTTCAGTAGCTGGAGAGAAGGCTTTATGAAATATATTTGTTTTAAAATTTTTTTGTAAAAATAGAAAAATGTATCTCTACCTTTAGTTTATGACAGGATCCTTCAGCCATATACATGCACCTTGCATCAGACAGTGTTTGAATTCCAACCGTTAGTCTCTATGGTCAGTCCCCGCACAGAACCAAGGAAAAACATAGAGACTAATTGCGCAGATACATACATTTGAATGAGAGCTCAATGCAGTGCTTGGCAATCCTTTCTCATATTAGAACACAGTGACTGTTACAATTTTTTCAGTTCACTTGATAGTTGTTGGTTTGTAATCACTGACCATTCTAATTTGTAACTATTAGCTTGTATTTGCTTATGGTACACCTCAGACTGATTTAGTTTATTATAGCAACCCAGGAGCACTGTCTTCGCAGGTTTTGTTTCTCTTGATTAAACTTTTACGTAATGGTTCTGTGTGCTATATACTTCAAGAAAGATTATATGTTTTTAATATTTGGTTTGTATTCCTCTAAGCGATGGACCTTTCTCCCACTGCCTGCTGGGATTGTCATTCGCTGTATTGAGCTTATTTATGTTATTGGGTCATTTCCCTTTTATAGTGATCATTTCCTGCCCCATTGTAGTGGAGAATGTCTTCTATCTCTATTTTTGGCTTTAGTAATAAGGATTGACTTAATGTGTTTAGAGGAACACTCCAAGCACCATAACCACTGCACCACTGCTCCGCCACCCTCTCTCTATTTATGAACTATTTGACATCTGGGCACCACTGAACATTTACCACCACTTGCTGCTGTAAACTACTTCAAGAAGCTTCCAGTTAGCTCCAATTGGCTGAGAGTGGAAACTGAGCGCATATGAGGTTAGCTCTAGAGCAAAACTAAACTAGTCTGCACAGGAGACAGACACAGGATTGCCACGAGGAGTTGTGACTCAGCTCTAGTTGCTTGTTTTCTCAATAAAGCTTTAATGCTAAGATTGGCGTTCCGTGTCTCCGGTCTGGATAGTTACACTTCTGGCTATTGCATCCATCATACACAAGGAGCCTTATCGTACCTGTGTCTGTAGAGTGAGAGTGGCACTTAATACACTAGATATTTGTGAGTGTTATACCATTTATCTAAACTTGAGTGCATTTATTGTCATTAATGAATGTTCTGCAGTAGATTTTTTTTTTTTATATATATTATTATTATTTATAAAGCAAATATCGTAGGGCTGTATGGTGGATCCCAAGAGACTTTAAGGAAAAATAAGTATTATACGTTTATATGTTCTGTTTTGCGCACCAACATTTGGGTTGGCATATGAGTAGATGTCAATTGGTGCAGTGTGGTGATTTACCACGCATGCATTATATTCTCCCAATACGGAAGCATTGCATTGACTGGCATCATCAGGCTCGCTATGGGAAGAAAGGTAAGTAAATCTGCTTTTTTTACTGCACACGGGGTAAGGGACCAAACATTTATATAGTTACTGCAACACTATACTGATCCGCCACAATATTAACATCACCTGCCTAATAACTTGTAGGTGCCCCTTGTGCTGCCAAAACAGCTCTGATGCATCGAGGCATGGACTCCACAAGACCTCTGAACGTGTCCTGTGGTATCTGGCACCAAGACATTAGCAGCAGGTACTTTCATTCCTGTAAGTTGGAAGGTGGAGCCTCCATGAATCGGATTTGTTATCCCAGAACATCCCACAGAGGCTCAATCAGATTGAGATATGAGGAATTTAGATGCCAAGGCAGCACCTTGAACTCTTTGTCATGCTCCTCAAACCATTCCTGAACAATGTTTGCTGTGTGGCATTAGCTACTGCCATCAGGGGACAACATTGCCATAAAAAGGTGCACAAAGTCTGCAACAATCTCTAGGTAGGTGGTACGTGTCAAAGTAACATCCACGTGAATGCCAAGAACCAAAGTTTCCGATCAGAACTTTGACCAGAGCATACCACTGCCTCCTCCAGGCTGCCTTCTATCAATAGTCATCCTTCTGCCATCTCTTCCCCAGGTAAAAGATGCACACAGTGATTCACTCTATCTAAAAAATCTGGATTCTGTAGACTAGGCAACCGTCTTTCATTGTTCCATGGTCCATTTCTGACGCTCATATCCCCATTGAGAACGCTTGCGGTGGTGGACAAGGGCATCATGAGTACTCTGACTGGTCTGAGGCTACGCAGCAACATATGCAACAAAAGTCAGCCATCTAAAAGTCAGCCGCATTCCATAACTATTAGCAATTCTAAATCTGAATCTATTTTTCTAGTGTATTGCTAAAAAGCTGTTAGAATCTTTTTATAAAAAGAGAATAACATATAAAGTATGATTTATTTGTTAATTCTGTTGCAACTATAAACAGATGTTCTCTGAAAGGGGAAGTATATGTCCAGCAAGATACTTTGAGTAAGTAACAGAAATATATATTCTGCATGCTGATGAAATATTATAAGTTATGAAACATTAAATTAATTATTAAATTTTATGAAAGTAGTTATCTGGCCATGACCTGTCTACCTTGTGACCATGAACTATTTATTCTGTTAATGATCCAAAATATTTGCTGAATTGCTGGATCTGTGTAATATCACATAGTGTTAAGTAAACATCTTCCGTGATTGAAGCCAATACATTTCAAGATATGATTTGAGACCGTGTGTTGTGTATCAGTCATTTCTCCCGAGCTGCTCGTAGGTATGTTTGTGCTGGTTGGAGTTCCAAGAATGGTCTGCAGCCGTGAATAATCCACGGGGAAGAATTTATGCCCTAACACACTGTGTGTTCTGATACCTTTATGCCTAAGCATTAAGTTTTCAGCAATTTGAGTTACAGTAGCTCCTCTGTGTGATCAGACCAGATAGGCTAGCCTTTGCTCCCCCCCAATTCCCCGAATCAATGAGCCTTGGGCGCCCATGATCCTGATGCCGGTTCATCGGTTGCCCTTTCTTGCACTACTTTTGGTAAGTACTAATCACTGCATGCCAGGAACACCACACAAGACCGGCCGTTTTGGAGACGCTCCTACCCAGTCGTCTAACCATCACTATGCGGCCCTTGTCAAAGTCACTTAGATCTGTTCACTTGCCCATTTTTTCCAACACATGAAATTCAAGAGCTGACAATTCACTTGCTGCCTAATATTTCCCACCCCTTTACAGGTGCCAATGTAACAATGGTCAATGTTATTCACTTCACCTGTCAGTGGCTGCACAATGGGGAACCTACGTGATATTAGGCAGGTGGTTTTAATGTTTTGGCTGATCAGTGTAAGCCCTTCTGAAAGACAGAGAGCATAACCCCAGTCCGGTCTGTCTCTTTAAAAATGTTGATGATCTTCAGTCAAAATAGATTTGTTATACAATGTAATGTCTGGGAATATTTTTGAGACAATGCCATGAATGAAACAGGATCTAAGAGCCATTATCATACACATTTAAGGCTTCAGATATTTAACCTGGACCAGTGCCACGCGGGGCGTCAGAAACCTTCCTGTTTTGTATGATTTAAAAATCTAATAACACCTCCTTAGAATGCATCCATTTACTTAAGAAGATATTAGGAGACATCAGCTTCTCCAAAAATCCTAATTCAAATATCACGCAGGAATAGAGGGGATTTACTAAGAAAGATGACAGTTGTTTTGGTTCTTCTCCTTCTACCAACTGTTTGGGGTAAGTGAAGCTGATGAAAATTGGGATACAAAGTTTATAGTTTTCAACTAGTATATTTTATTTTTATGTTAGTTATATTATATACATATTTAGTGCAAACGTTAGCGATATAATGCACTATAAGGGAGGATTCACCCAGTGGATTCACATATCAATACAGAATTTCATGTAACGTTGTAGAGAATTCTCTCATAGATGAGAGGAAAATGAAATAAAAAAAACTGTTATCTTTTGAAAAAAATACTCTTCTTCTTGAGTTGCCTGTAGTTTAAAAAGCATGAAAGATCCCAAATAAATCAAATGTTGCTTCTAAGCAATATTTTAGGTGTCTAAATCTCCAATCATTCCAGATTAAAACTGCCATCTCCTTATAGAATTTATATTTTTTTTAAATACAGCCCTTGTCTTCCTAATTGCAAATAATGCTATGCAATATGTTTTGCTAAATATATATATATGCATAGAGAGAGAGAGAGAGAGAGAGAGAGAGGTATTTTTCTGAGCCCCTATATATGTATTAACCATTAACATGGAACACATGGGCTGGGTGGCAGCATTGTAACATAGCTGTGTGATACAAAAGTGAATGCAAATACACAACAACAAGTCCTGCGCTCAAACTCCCACTACTCCTGGGCGGCAGCAATGACCATAGTACACATCAGCCCCATTACATACAATAAAAACCAAAGAAAAAAAGGAGTTACCTGCGCTCTTCCCAAATCCCTATCCAGGGCAGATCCAGAGGCTAATCTCGGGAGGGGCAATCATAGATAATTTTAAAGAAAGAAACAAGGCACAATAACAGCTCTTGGTAGTGGTCATGGTGCCAGGAGTGCCGTGGCGCCTCTTCCAGAGTAAGTAGTTTAGGAACAGTTTGACAATTTACCTGGGATCTGCCAGGCCAGGGGCTGTAGTAGGGAATAAGGACAATAGTAATGTGTGTGTGTTGGTGGTACAGTGTGTGTGTGTGTGTGTGCGGGGTGCAGTACGATCCCCCACTGTCTCATTCCCCCAACCCCCATGTGCTCATTTCCTCTCCCCAGTCCTGCCATGTGTCTCATTTTCCCAGCCCCCCCCCCCAAGTGTCTCATTCCCACAGCCCCCATGTGTCTCATTCTCCCACCTGCCTCGTGTATCTCAACCCCCAGTTCCCAATGTGTCTCAATCCCCCAGCCTCCCATGTGTCTCATTCCCTTAGCCCCCCAGGTGTCTTATTTCCTCACTTTTAGTGTAATTTTAGTTGACTATATCTCCAACATTTTAGTCAATTAAATCTGATGAGAATTGTTCATTGACGAATTTAACACTGGTGGCTAGAACATACAGAGGGCAGCAAAAAAGACCACCAGTGACGCGTTTCATGCCTCATTCTCTGTTGAAGTTCCGGTAGGCACAAAATGCGTCAGTGGTGGTCCTTCAAAAAGTACAGATTGAACAGGCAATTCATTTGTTTTGTTTGTGTTGTTGTTTTTAATTTTGTTTTATTGAGTAATACTAAAGAGTTAAGTAAAGTACACTGAAATTTAGTCAATTTGTACTAAAGCAGAATCTTAAAATGTAGATCAATGCTCAAAAATAATATATCCAACTCTCTCTCTCTCCCAATAAATACACAAACAAGGTATATTTTCTAAAGAAGTTAGACAGGAATTTTAAAGAAAATAGCTATTGTGGAAAGATTATTTTAACGCAAAACATGTAAACCCTTGGTAATTCCTATATACTGCAGAATCGTCAGGAGGCCGGCCCAGCCATGGAGATCTCAGAGGGACTAACCTAAAGGGACACTATAGTCACCAGAACAACTACAGCTTATTGAATTTGTTCTGGTGAGTAGAATCATTACCTTCAGGCTTTTTGCTGTAAACACTATCTTTTCAGAGAAAATGCAGTATTTACATTACATAACTTCACTGGCCACTCCTCAGATGGCTGCTAGAGATCCTTTGTGGGTCATTGCTGCCTAAAAAGCATCCAAACATTCAGTGTATCCTCCCTCTGCATGCAGACATTGAACTTTCCTCATAGAGGTTCATTGATTCAATTAATCTCTATGAGGAGATGCTGATTGGCCAGGGCTGTGTTTGAATCATGCTGGCTCTGCCCCTGATCTGCCTCCTTGTCAGCCTCAGCCAATCCTATGGGGAAGCACTGTGATTGGATCAGGCCACTACTTCTGATGATGTCATCAGGCAGTGGGCAGGTCTAAAGGAAACAGAGCCAGAGCTAGCAGCTCCAGACTTGAATACAAGTAAGATTTTGCTATGTGTATGGAGGCATGAGGGGATCAGGGAGGCTAGATGGTGGTTTTAATCCCATAGGGTCAGGAATATATGGTTGTGTTCCTGACCCTATAGTGCTCCTTTAAACAAAAAGCAAACCTTCCTGACTGTCTGACAGCCAGGGGGGTGTTTTGTTAAATAATTATTAGGAGCCGTTGAAATGGGATACTCCATACCCATTGATTGTGGTATTGTGTATGATACATATGAATGTGGGCTGTGTATGGGGGCAGCTTGTGGAATTGTGTGTGTGTGGATGGATTTGTCACATTGTGTGTTTGGTAGTGTGTGGGGGCTGTTTGGGGTGTAGCATATGAGAGGCTGCATGTGGGGGTTGTGTGCATGTATGTGGATTGTTAGTGGTGATGCGTTTGTGTGGATTGTGTGTATGTTTGTGTGTGGGCTGTCCGTATTATTTTTATGAGGGGAGGGTCTTTCTACATTTCTGTGTATATCTAGCAGTGTGGGTGGCTTCCCTGGGTTCCAGTGGGGAACAGGCCGGCCAGGTACAGGTCAAGGACAGGAGCTGCAACAACAACTGCGAGCTGCTCTACTACTGTGTGGATTCCCATTCACAAGTGCTGGAATGAAATCCTCTGAGATCACTTCCTCTACGTGCTTCAATGCATACATTAAGGATTGTCCTTCACCACCTCTTCGTATTAGCAGATATCTGAAGTTTTACTGGGACTCCTGATAGGCCAGAGCCTGTTTGGCTCTAGCAGCCTTGAGTGCCGTGCATGGCACTAGTGCCGTAGGTTGCCTACCCCTGATCTAAGATATGTTACTGCTCTTGTGGTAGGGAACATACTGGCAGCATTCCAACTCAGGCAGTGCTAGTTGTGCTAATGATTCCATACTAGCGTTTGTTTCTTGCAGTACACAGCATGCATTACAAACATGTACAAATACTTTTATTATAAATAAAATACTAAAATGTGTATATTTTCATATAATCAATTAAAACATGGTGTTGTCCTTGTGTTTTTCAAATGAAATGTCCTTTCATGTTTGGCCCACAGGTAACATCCCAAATGAAGCGGCCCATCCCATAACTGGAGTCCTCGGAGGCTGTGTCTCTTTCCCAGTTCTTATTGAAGAAGGTAGAAAAGTGAACAGTATCTTCTGGGAAAATAATTCTACAAAAAAAACCATGGCCGTTGCAATGCCCAGTAAAACACTTGATGTTAAAAATGAGCGTTTCCAAGGCCGGCTAAAGGCTAAGGACTCGGGGTCTGGGTACTCACTAGAATTGTGTAATTTGGAGAGCGAAGATACTGGAACTTACAAAGCCACGTTATTCACAAATTCTAAAACAAAGTATCTATTTTTCAAACTTGAAGTAAATGGTGAGTTCAGCGCTATACAGTTAACTTCTAAAATGAGAGGCAAAAAACACAATTACATTTCTTTATTTATACAGAGATTTAGAATTACATGTTTTATTTTTACATTTTTATTTTTTTTTAAATGAGTTTGTAGGTGAAAACCCCTTTGTCATGTGCGCACTGTATATGTGTTTTACAGATTACACCTAAACAGAAACTAACAGGGTTAATCACTAAAGTGAGAATTCACAGTGATTTCAAAGGGAATTTAAAACTTAAAGGGACACTCCACTGCCCAAATACGAAATTAATAAAAAATCACTGTTTAGTAGATATACCCCAATTGAAAACTTGCATGTATTTAATTATATATTTTTTCATTGAAGCTATATCTAAAAACAGCTTGCAAAACCTGCAGTTCTCCTGTCTGCTGCCTTTGCAAACCCTCCCCATCTAACTCCGCCCAGACTTTCTGTGGCTGTCCAATCACAGACTTCCCAATGCAGCCCAATGAGAAGTCTTTATAAGGCAGGTGCTCTGGTCAGTTGTTGCCTCTTGAGTACAGTGCAACTAAGCTAACCAAACCAGGAAGTAACAAGGCAAGTTGTCTGCTTAAAAGGCCAGAGGGGTGTAACCAGTATAATTTATAAAAGTGTCAATTTCTATTAAAATCTGCACTATCTCCAAAAGGAAACATATAGGACACACTCTCCACACATAAAGCTTTTCAGCAAGCGAAAGTGCTCTAGGGGTCTGGAGTGTTCCTCTAAGGTCAAAATATCTGACATGGAAAAATCCTCTAGTCTGCTATGCTTCCTTTTCAGATAATTTAACCTTACATTTAAAATTCTCTTTAAATTCACTTTAAATTCTCACTATAGTGAATAACCCTGTAAGTAATGTAAAGAGAAATTGATTAAAAGAAAAACTGTCACTTCTCTGGAATTCATACCATTGAATAAAACATTGACAATTGTCTATAACTTGTGTTTATCTTTTTTTCTTGAGATACTCCATTTACTTTTAAATGGATATTAAAGATTTAGCAAAGGACATCATAATCCTGATCAGACAAGGCACAGCCAGGGCACACAATGAAAACGAAACATTGTTTCATTTCTTCTACTCTCTGTCTGCTCTCTTTATACAGAATCCCAGGTGCAAAGGGCGGAGCTTGTAGCAATGTTTGACAGGGAGCTAAGATGGAGGCGCCCAGTTCCTGAATAAATAACTGTACATTTTTACATTTAATGTTATTTTTATACATTTAAAGTTGTTTTTCACACTTCACAAACACATACTTGTTAAACATAGGAATAAGTACATGTATTATTAGAATTCTTGCTAAGTGACAGCTCCCTTTTAAATATTGTTTCTTTTTCTTAGTTTTTCAATGCACCACAATGTTCATCTGTTGTAACATGTATTCCTAGTATTTCAGTCCAAATTTAGACTTCGGACCCCGCTGCTGAGCTGTAAAAAATAGTGGACATTTTTTTCTACTTACCTTTTTATCTCACACAAGACTCACTCGGTGCTATGGAATAATTGTATTAATATTATTTATAATGCTTGCCAGCAATAGTAAAGTTTGGTTCTATGATTTGATTTGCAGGTAACAGCAGAGCTGACAGAACTGACTGGACATCCAGAAATATCCTCTTGGTTACCAGTTTGGTCGTATATGGCATTTTCCTTGCTGACAAAATATAGGTTTTTGGTATATTCACACAGAGAAGCAGGTTATTCCACGGAGCCTGTAAATCTAGAATATATATGTTTTCTAATGTGGAAGACAAATGATCTGCTCCCAAATGCTTTCTGAGTGTATTCATCCTGTGTGCTGATTAAAGGAGCCAATTAAAAAAAAAACTAAAAACAAAATGTGCCTTTCTTTAGAAAAACCCAAATACAACTTGTAACGGATCACCTGGCACCCCGACTGGGTACCTCTGTTGAAGGATGCTCCTAGCGCTTCCTGAGGGCTCCAAGCACTTCAGCCGACACCATGACCACCGTAGACTCCTTCAGAGAGCAAGACAGGAACAAGCTCTTACAAGAGCTTAGTAGTGATATAGCAAGAGAGTATGACTAGCATAGCAATCCCTTGTAGCAGATTCCCCCAATAAGAGACGGCACTCCAAATTGGGGTTGAAGTAGAACTGTTTAATGGAAGCAAGCACTCACAATTTATACAATTCCTCAGGCCAGAGGCACACCCCCTGGACCTGATGGAACACTGGCACACAAAGGACACAAACCAATCAAAACAATACAACAATGTCTGACACACCCAGTCATTACAGCAAAATCCTCCCCTCTGCCTGTGATATAATTACTGAACACAATGGGCTAACGTAATTATCACAGGCAGGAAAATACACAGTTTTACGCAATATTCATAACTTTAAAAGTATACATCACATAAAACTTACATTTTCAGAATCAGCATACTCCAAATACAATCATGTCAAAATCATACAAATTGGTCCAGTGGTTCAAAAGTTAGTTGGAAGTCCCTTTTTGACCGACTGCAAGCATGGCTTGGGTGTGGTAAGCCAATTATCTGCAGCATACAGAAAATATCTCTATTCACAACAACAGTAAAAATACATAAAAATACATAATTCCTATTATACTGAACAGAACCCCCACATTCAACCTATCCCCAGCGCTCAATATATCCGAACAGCGCTCAGATCCCACAAACAGAATAAAATCGCCATGGGGTTAAAGTTTAGCAAGGTTCATACACAGTCCAATAGAAGTCCATAAGCCCCAAGACTGTTTTTAAAGTGCCCAGTCTCCCAGGGGCCATAGTCCCAAGGCACAAGGCTGGCAATCAGTTCCCTCCAAAAAAGGCGAGGTCCCGTTCGCCACGCAATTTATGCAAACTGTGGAATTTTAAGAGCATTCTCTACCCTAAGAAAGTCCACCAAGACTATAGTGAGGTTGCTCATAGTTGTAAAAGAGCAGTATAAGTAACTTTAAAGGCCGTGCTTGCCCAGGATCGTAAATGACAAGGCATTTAACTTGAAGGCCAAAATAACTATCATTAAAACTAAACCAAAACTATAGCGTGAATGAGAGAGTGAAAGCCATGTACAATAACTTTAATGGGAGTCAATGTCTGAATTTTTAGCCAATACCACAATTATGGTCGAGTTGTGACCCAGCCCTGCTATCAGGTGTAGAATGTTGGGTGGCCCCTCCACCTCCTTCAGGCCACAAATGGAAATCGACCGAGGTACCAGGGTCGATAGGGTGGTACGCCATCTCCTCTGCAGCCCAAGCCCAGGCCAGTATGTAAGCCAGTGCCTCTTCACCACTCTGCCCTCCATCTCCAGTGGTAGAGCTGGAATTTTACAGGGCTCCTGAAACAGTCCCACAAGGTTATGGATGACTGATGTCCATCCTGGCTCTTGGCTCAGAAGGTGAGCACTGTGTTGAGACACTGCTAAGCCAAGGTAGGAGATTGGCACCTCAGTTGGGACCCAAACTGGGCCCATAAGACTGAGCAGAGTGTGTCAAAGGCTGCATTGAACTTGGATTTTCCATAAAGATGTTGGATGCTCATGTGGTAGGGTGGCCATCTTAGATGTCCTGTGTGGCTTTGTCGAGTGAAGGCGTGAGAGTCGCTGTGCCTCTTGTGAGTTGGAAGCTTCCCTTTTGGGGACTGGGATTTCCCCAACCAGTCAAGAAGGGAGGGGGGGCAGGGTGACAGCTGGAAGTGTTAGAAACGCTGGTGCAACCAGGGAGATTGTCTGTTCATCCCTTCCATGGGTCACCCTCAGCATCTAAGCCACAGATCAAGTTCAGGCCACAGGTGGTACAACATTGCCGCAAGCTTCCTGAAAAGAATGCCTCAGTCTACCGGAGTAGGTAAGTAAGTTATAGGTTTGTTTCTTTAGGTAGATTCTGGGCTAAAAGTCAGGATTTGCCAACTGCATGCGAGGAGCACGTCTGTCCACCATGCTGGTCAGGCCCCCGCCCCTATCTTTGCCCACTTTTTTAGCAATGCAGAATTGACAAAATTTGTATTTAAAGGGGTACTCTATGGACCATAATCCCTACAGCCTGCTATAGAAGTCATGGTGTCATCAGCGCCCTGGTATAATCTGTCAAACCTTTTTAGCATGGTAACATTATTTCATCTACTTTTTGTCGCGTTAAGGTTTCAATGTTATAATGGGATTTTGTTAGCTATTACAAAAATGCAGATCTATTTTATTATCTGTATTGTAACTAAAGAGGTCTCTTTAGTGCAAATCTAACAATTGCCAACTTGGTAAATATTTCAGGACTTGTACAAATGCTTAAAAGGGCCCACCAATCACCATAACCACTACAGTTTGTTGGCACATAAAGTCCACCCTTTAAACACTCTAAGCACCATAGCCACTACATACCATTGCAGCAGTTGTGGTGCTAGGAATACACTGATACCATACAAGCATAAACCCTTAAACTGTTTTAGCATGGTTTGAGACTTACCTGGGTCCTGAAAGGTGATATAAGGCGGATATCTAGAGCTGTATAAGACTGATACAATTTTACTGAACGATAGGACTTACTCACTGGTTCAGAATGCTCAGCTGACTCTCTCAACCAGTGCATGAGATAATATCATACACACAACTGACATCTCACTTCTACAACTGTAGAATTTCAGATACAGCCCTCACAAAACTCAAGTAATATTTACTTCTCTCAGAGTACCCGTTCAATACAAATTTTTTTAACCAGCGTTTATTAAATCAAGAAGACAATTAAGCAGGGTATGATGAAAAGGTGCAATGACTCTTCTCCGTCTGGGAGCTAATCCAGAGAGTTTAATGGCCCATAAAGTTCTTCTGACGCTCTGTAGGTAGATATATAAGCTATATAAGTAATAGTTTCTATTACAAAGAGTGGTTTGTTATAAGTATTCTGGAATAAAACAGACAAGGTGTCCTGGAGATCAGATTTGTATGATACACTCCACCATTGACAGATAGACCATACAGTTCCAACTATAGAGATCTTCTCCACCAGGGACAGATAGACCATAAGGCACCTACTATAGAGATCTTCTCCACCACTTACAGATAGACCATAAGGCACCTAGTATAGAGATCTTCTCCAGCATTGGCAGATAGACCATAAGGGACCTACTATAGAGATCTTCTCCACCACTTAGAGATAGACCATAATGCACCTAGTATAGAGATCTTCTCCAGCATTGACAGATAGACCATAAGGCACCTACTATAGAGATCTTCTCCACCAGCGACAGATACACCATAAGGCACCTACTATAGAGATCTTCTCCACCATTGACAGATAGACCATAAGGCACCTACTATAGAGATCTTCTCCAGCATTGACAGATAGACCATAAGGCACCTACTATAGAGATCTTATCCACCATTGACAGATAGATCGTAAGGTTCCTACTATAGAGATCTTCTCCACCAGTGACAGATGGACCATACAGTTCCTACGATAGAGATCTTAATGCAGTTGTCAATTCTGGAATTATCAAAGTTAAGAGGCTTGTTATTAAAATACTATGTAATCCTATTGTGACAATGTATTCAGTATTTGGCAATCAACCAACTTGCCCTAACTTACAAATCAAAGGTGCTAGTGAGAAAAGAACCAAAAAGAAACCAGGTACATCTCCACCTTCTACAGGAAGATAATGGAGGAAAACTACGGTTTTACATACTATTACACTAAAACCAGGTTGTACATATTATTACACTAAAACAGCTCTGTAGAACAACCCTTCTAATACCACTACTATTACAGGTGCTACAATGTCTCCTAACTGAAAGTCATATCTAAGAGTGGAAATACAATGTCAATATACACCCATGCCCAAGTGCCCTCACCATCAAATAAAAAAACATACAACAAATTTATGACACCATTACATTTTTAATTTCATTTTATGATGCAATCAAACTTACATACATTTAAAATCATGACACTCGACCCTTCATTACAACACTAAGCCAACAAAATGTTGAAAAAAGAAATTAATCCTGAAAGTGTACTCCATCAAGTTGACCACTAGAGGTCCTGCAAAACAAGCAAAATAAATAAAATGTAGGTTGTCAGTCAGTAAGTGGAAAAATAAGCTAAAACTATGGAGTAATTATTAATGATGTTAAATGTTGATCACGAATAACTAATTGAACGGAAATATTCACTAAGGTTGAATTTTGTATTTTTTTTTATTCAACTCTAGGTATTTTCTAAAGTAAATGCAACTGCACATTGAGTGATTGTACAAATTAGATTCTTAGCAATTAAGTCTGCTAAAGAATTCCTATTTTGATTTCGATTTTTTTCACATCTTAGTTCCCCTGCCAGGAGATACGTGTAGTCTGTCCACCCTTGCTTTAGGAGTTTTCCTCGATCTCATTTTTATTAAAGAATAATCCTGGACAGTCTGAAGTTTTATTTCAAGACTTGCAGCAAAGACGAGCAGCATTTATGGATGGGGAACAGCCATCTTGCTCGTTCGGGTAACTTTGAAAATACAAGGACCTTTATTAAACTACAAATGTTAGCTAGGATATAAAGGAAAGCACTTGGACCAAACCAATGCAGATAAATGTGTCAACCTTAATTTATAATACATAACTTGATCAAACTGTGAGCTTCCTGTAAACCTATACCTGTAAACTCTTTCAATGTGCTCTAGAAAAACTCATGGCCAGATTCAAGACTCAACATCTCTAGAATACAATCACTCTATGTTTTCTACATATAAGATTGGGTGTCTGTTGAGATATGAGAATGGTGTCTTGAACAAATGTACTCATGGTGGTCGTTCCAGTGTAGGCAATATTTTGGGTTACTTAGCACCTTTAGTTTCTGAACAATATGGGAAC